CTAGTGCGGGAGAGTAAGGGTAGGGGGGTTGCATTTTCAATGAATGGCATGAACGTCCCAAACTGGATTAACGTGTTAGTTTATATGGTGACTGTGCAGTCACGTCATGGCATTGTGATCTTTAACAATCAAGTCTTTTGTCTGCACAGAGGCGATGGATGAGTGGAAATCTTACATAAAGCGCTCTGTGCTTTGTACATGGGAGACTCCCACTTCTGTGCTAAATGAGGAATATAGTTTTATGTGCCTGCGCTTTGCCTAATAAAAACTGGCAGCTATATCTGCTCCCGAGGGATGTGTATCTTTTGGCAAGCATCTGATTAAATTAGCTTTTGATTGCTTGGGCAGGCCGCCAGCACTAGCAGACGCAAATATGAAATCCAAATGCTTCAGGTTTGATGGACATGTCAGCATGTTGCAGCTGTGTGGTGGTGGTATCCAGGCAGACAAGTACCAGGATAGATCACGCTGACACTGACCCAAGTGTTGGCTGCCGACTGAATACACAAAGCCTACAACTGTTGCAGCAGCGTGGTTCAGGAACTGCAGGGTATCCCAAAAGCTCAGACCCTTCCTTAGTCTGCTCTCTGCCTGCGTCACCGTCAGCCCTGCTGGGATTCCCCCATGGCTCCGGCCCAGGCAGTGAAGTAACTTGTGAGGTTTTTTTTTCCTGCATTTTTTGGCAGGATAACAGAGTTAAAGCCCCACGTGCCGCACAGGCCCTTCAGAAATGTAGCTTTTGGCACAGGAACAGCTGAAAGTCAGCCAAGCCACGCTGCTTCCCACTTCTTTTAATGGCAGGAAAACTTGTGGTGTGCAGACAGCGCTCGCATTCACTGCGAATACAGCTCATTCTGATGTTTACAGGTGGGTTATTACTGAAATATTCAAGTGACACAATGCAGGCCTTAAGCCAAAGCCCACACCCTTAAGCCTTGCAGGGTGATTTGAATACAGTGACAACATAAAAAGCAACCTTTACAAGCCTGTAGAGGATTACAGTTTGATAATAAGAAAACAACCAGGCGTCAGACCTGTTTGTCTCGTCTGTGGATGTTTGTCTGTCATTAATTCACAGCCACTAGCCAGTTTAGTGGCCAACTGCCAACCGACTGCCACTTACTCAGCCATGATTTGCAGGAGGCAAAATGAGCACGCTGTTTGCATATTACACTAACTGCTTCCAAAATGTTCTTCAAATACCCTCGAGCAGAGATCAGGCATCTTACAGGAAGCTGTGTGGATTTCTACTTTTAAGACGTTTCAGTGACAACAAAGCCTTTACACGCCTTTAATCTTGATATGTACACTGAACAAACACACTAGGAGGTGTGAATCTACAAACAACAAACAGAGAACTCTAAGGAATGGACATGACTTATATACACAGAAGCCTATTGTGTGGACATGAGTTGGTTTTCAATAAAAAGATAAACACATAAGAGGCCAGAGGGACCGTTTTTATATATGAAGAATAAGAAGGCGCAGCAAATACTGTCCCTATGTCCAAACTTAGATAGAAGTAGACAGACATGGAGGACGGCCAAGCAGCAATACGTGTCCGCTACGACAAGATATGAAATTGGGGTTATCATTAAATGTTCCCCTCTGATATGATGGGAGTTTCTTACTAACTGGAAAAAACATTCAGGAAAGCAAAATCAAACTAGGGCTATAAATTCTGTTCATTATTGATCTATTTTAACAATCTGTTCATTTATCTTAGAAGTAATTACTTAAAATTACTTAATTCCTTATGATCAATGACCAATTAATTATATAGAACTGATAAAAGGCAGCAAATCCTCTTGTTGGAGAAGCTACAACCAGACAGTATTGGGCATTTTTTCGTGATAAATGATTGATGATGATCAATTATTGAAATAGTTTTTTGCTGACCTACAGTTTCAGCACTACATTAAATTTCTATACATGTTAATATTGATAAATTGTTTGCACTATTGGTGCTCGTAAAAAGACTAATTTCCATCAGCAGTGACAGACAAACAACTTTAGAAATATTAATAAAGCTAATGCAGCTGTTAAATCGGTAAAGACATAATAATCAAGCTATATCAAGATGGTTTAATAACTAAAATCCTACAGTATGTGAAAACATGATATATTATTCTTATACATTGCAACATCAGGGTCTGCCACTTCTTCCACTCCACCCTTTGATGGGAAAGTATACAAAAATATAACACAGGCGTCAGTTCTTCAAATCAAGAGCAACCACAAGCGTCTTTTTTATAAACCCGCTTTCATAACCAGCAGTGTTACTTATTAGGGCCAGGCCACATTATGCGAAAGCTAAGATCTGAACTTGATCACCGGCCATACGTTTCTAATCCACAATGTAAACGCCCCCCCCCACCAACACCACCGCAGTAGTATCTCCAGTGGACACACTGAGCCGGTGCCGGCCACAGGATACCATATGCCAGATTGGGCCAAACAGATTAGTGTGTCAATTTCTGGGCAAGCCTCTAAGGTGATTGGAGGATGGTGGGGTGCAGGGTGCAATAAGGGCTTGGAAATCTCTCTTAAAGAATTTCAGAGCTTAATAATCACACTGGGAAGCTGCAAGTGCCAAATTCCACAATTTAACATTTAACTTTAACTTTCCTTTTGTGTACCAGATATAACTTAAAACTTAAAAATGCCTGGTTTCCTGCCAAAGTGGGTGGTAAGAGAACAGGTAGGTTCCAGTATTCGACCCAATGCCTGGTGGTAAATCCTCCTTTCACCATAAAAATCTAAAAGTAAACTTCCAAAGGAAAAGACGCTCCGGATCTCCCTCTTCATCCTGTTCCTGTCGTTCAGATTTCTGGTTTCAAAATCTCATTTCCTCATTAATTCGTGAAGTCACAGCCCAAAATATGCCAGAACACATGGAAATAAACCTTCATCGTGCAAAGGGACATTTCATAACGTGTCTTCCTGTCAATTCGGTTACACGGCAGAATGAAACACATCTTCTATTATCTCATATTCTTGTAACAGCAGAGGTTTGTATCATGTGTCTATTTTGACACTACAACAAGTTTTTTTTTTTACCTCACGAAGGTAAAAAACCTCTGAAAGAGCCTTTATGTCAGACTAGGACAATGAAGACCTCCAATGAAACCAGACTTTCTAACTGTTTTCAGAGCATATATGTCTAAGGTCATTAAAAAGTGCTATACGAGGCTTTAAAACCAAACCAACTTCCTGTGCCTGTACGCCCCCAACAACTATTTGTTAAAAAACTACAACACCAACCACAAACCAAGTGAGTTTTGGTTGTGGCTGTGAGGTTTGTAAGCCTGATGCAACCAAGCCAGACAAGAAAAGCATCTAAAGCGCTTCCTGAATCCACTTGGGATGAAAAAGTTTCCTCTTTTAATGTCCGCTGACGTCATTTAGAGGGAATACACTGGCAGATTTTTCCCACCACCCTGCTGTAGTAGTGAAGGCAGCTCATTGTGTCCGTATCACTTCCCCTGACATACTGGACTTGATCTCAGCCACTACCAGATGATGACAGACTCTTTTATCCACCCACTCCACCTTTGTTTTCCACTTTCACATAAATACCAAAACAACTAAATTACAATTGGAGACTTAAGTCAATTCACATAGGTTGGATGTTAAAATGGAGGTAGATCTGCGGCTGTGTTTAGCTCCTGAACGGGAATTACATTTACATAGTCCTGTCGTTGGACCTGATGTGGACAGCCCTACCAAAATCAATTTTACCTAGGGCTGCACAACTAATCGAAATATTATTGAAGTCGCAATAGTCAAATCGCAGATGCTGCAGTTTATTGATAAGGGTATCGAGAGTTGCCATTGGAGATCACCAGAAATCATGATTTTAATAGGGGTTTTTTCAGCTGAAATTTGTGATGCAAAAATGAACTTTCCCACACTAATCACTAACTGTATCGCAATATCTGTCAAAATAAGCGCAATATGATGTTTTTACCATATCGTGCAGCCCTAACATGACCAATTTTTTGGTATTAATAATGTAGTGTAGCAAAAACACATAGAAAGCAGCTTCACATCTATTCATAAAACCACTTTTTTTTGGGTTTGAGTCATCCTACTGTCCCCCTAACATGACATTTTGTCAGACCAAACTTTCTTTAACGCCCAGTCGTTGATGCTGTCACATGCAGTGGCTTTTATACCCAACTGGAAGGGCAGCAGGACGTACTGTAACGTTAGTAGATGTTTTATGGCGTGTTCAATTTGTACAGGACGTGCTGTGTCACCTCAATGAGCCAAATCATTAAACAACAACAACAACAACAACAACAACTCCTTAATTAGCAGTTTAGCACACAAATCTTTACGTAGAAAACACGGGCAGCTGGTTTATCCGACATTGGCCTCTAGCTAAGATAATGCTGTGAATAATCAGCTTGTAATATTAGCTAAAGTAGCTGCCAAGTTATGGTTTTACGTTATGTGACAGCGCTCCTTCTGAAATCAAATTAACGGTTCGGAATTCGAACGTTGGCCGTTAATTCGGTTTTGAAGTTAACGTTCGTTTTGAAAGCTCACAGTTCGATACGACCTCGCTCACGACACACAACGTCTGTTTTTTTTTTTTCAAACGTTTCTCTATATTTGAATAAAAACTCGATGTAACCGCCGAAAAAAACCTTGTAGAAAAATCAAACACCGGCTCTTCCGTTAGATTTTTTTTTTTTTTTTTTTACTACAAACAAACAATTAAAAATAAAATAGTGCCATTACTCGCAGCGTAGGTTGAATTACGAACATTGGGTGACATATGGCAGGTGAGTCCATCCGCTACCGTAGCTATACACAGTATTGATTAGGCGATTTGATAAGGCCACATCGATCCAAAAAAAAAAAAGAAAAAAAAAAGCTGCGTCCTGTAAGTGAAGAGTAAAACAGAAGCAGCAGAAGGAGGAAGCCACACAAACGAACATAAAGCACACACATAAATACGGCAAACGAAAAATAAAGAGAAAACAACTTACCACGTCGGCTTCCGTTCCGTTTTTACACTCTTTGGAACCGGAAGAAACATTCCTGGTTTTTTTTACCCCCAGTCTGTGAACGCGGTCTCTTCCCCTCCACCGCCACCACCGACACTTCGGCTTCACGCACCGGGGAAAAGGCACCAGAAAGAGGAAGAGGAGAGGTGGTTCGTGTGTTTATCGGCTGGAATTAAAGTGGGTTCATGTGACTGCATGATATCCACGCACTCGGCTTCTGCGTGTAATTGCGTTTTCAGAGTTTCTTTTTTTTTTTGAGTGTTCGGTTGTGAGAGCCCCGCAACGCTCAAAGCCAGACAGACAGACAGAGAGAGAGAGAGAGAGAGAGAGAGAGACAGAGAGAGAGAGAGGCGTGGAGACACTCTCCGGCCTGCACAGTCAGATCATTGGTTGACAAACAGTAATCAGATGCAAATTCCTAACCTCTGAATCAGCAGGGGCCAGCCCCCCCCCCACCACCACCACCGCCACACACCTCCCCTCTCCCCCAACACACACCCTCCTCCAGAGCAGGGGGGACGTCGGTAAATGCGGGGGTGTGAATTATAAAGTGGGCTGGAGCAAAAGAAAAAAAAAAAAAAAAAGGATACTTTTATTTTGCTACTTTGTGACAAATATTCAGAATTCTTTTGCATTATTATTCCACAAAAGGTTTCTAAAAATATCCAGAATTTGAGCCACATTTAGAAAAAAAACAAAGGACAAACTGAAATATAAATATAAATTGCTGCACATCAGCTTCTTGTTTTTCATGTTTGTTTTGCTTGTTAATGTCATTTGTGTGACATTGTCCTATTTATTAGGGCTTGTGATTGTACAAATATGTCCACATTCATACTTTTAAGCTGATTATTATTATTATTGCTTTTATAACTGTTAATATATTGTTTGTTTTGGCAATATAAGCACTGTTTTTTCATTCAGACAGGCTGTCAAAAGATTATCCAAAGAGCTCAAACTGACTTTTATCTCCATATACTAAACAGATAAACAATGTTTTTTGACTGCATCCACTTAAAACAGATTGTCTGTGAAACTGGATGAAATATGGTTCACAAACAAGTGTATTTTATCTATTTTGCTCATTGGTGAATCATTTAAAGTACATTTTCCAGCAAAAGTGACAAAACATTTTGTAGTTTCAGTTTCTGTTACATTGGATCAACCTTTGACATTTTTCACTATTTTTCTACAATTTAATCAAGAAAATAATCTGCAGGTTAATCAATGAAACCAGTTTTTAGCTGCAGCCCTACAAATTATGTTTATTAATTTCCATACTTTTAATGTTTTCTTTCTTATGACATACTTTCACATCTTTGAACCTCTAGGAATTCAAACAAAATTATCTTTTTTATAAATTAATACAATGTAAACTACAGTGTTTATCCTGAAAACTGTGTGTTTTGTTTACATTTTCCTTTTAGTGTTGACTTTTGGTAAAGACCTGTTCAGTGGCTGCGTCAAAAAATAAGCTTAAAAGTGAAGCACAACTCAGTTTATTTAATTTAACCAGCCCTTTAATATTTCTGACTATTTTTTTAAAAAATCTAAATAACTGATGCAGTGTCATTTAATTTAGACATTACAACACTGATTCTGAAAATATGAAGGTGGTAAAGTGGTTTATTTAGCTGATGGGAACTCATCTCACTTTTAGGCGCTAACTGAATGAATGACTTAAACTGAGATAAACTGATTATTAATACCAAACTTGTAATGGAAACTGACAGTTCTGCTCTTATTAGACGCACAGTTGCAGAAAATATCTCAATGCAGCTGTCTGGTTTTGAAATGAAATCACTGAAACCTAAAAGAACATCTGAAATCCAACATAACTCAAATTTAATGAGCTCCCTTTTCCAGTTTAATTGAAGGTAAAACCTGTGTTTAGGTGTCACACAGTGAAACACAAGGACTAATTATACATTTTATAGTGGAACAGAAGATAAACCACAATGCAAACAAAGGACTGGTCCATTCACGGAGACCAAACTGGAGTAAAAACCACACATTTTAAAGAGAAAACTGACTCAGCCACAGTGAAATAAACCCCAGTCTTTTCTGTCCTCATCCCCACTGACTGCTCGGTCGCTGGTTTGCAGCTGTTTTCTTAAAAGAGATATTTAAAAACACCCAAATGATCCTCCCTCTGCCTCATCAGGCGTAATGGGATCCAGGAGAGGAGTGTGCTGACGCCGTGGGGAATAAAATTAAAACGTGGAGGACCGCGGACTCTCTGCTGGCGATGACAACCAATAATTTCACATATGGTAATCAAACAGTTTAGTCTCTGCCAGGGTGGGGTCGACACACACAGGAAGTGGGTGTTATGATAAGAAAATGTGTGATAAAATAAACGTAAATATAAAGAAGTTTGTAGAAATAAGTGTCCGGATAAAAGATGAAGCTTTAATTAGGTTAATAGTAACATCTTCACTATCCTGTTTTTGTAAATATTAGTGTTTGATGTGCAAATATGTGTCAAAGCTGTATGTTTAAGCCTTTCTGAATGTTTTTTCTTATCTCTGCTCAGGGTTTTTAATGATAAACTGATTAATGAACTAATTTATCTGATTATTTGTTGCTCTTAAAATATAACAAGTGATAAATTCAACCTTTTTTTTAAGTGTTTGCTTACGTTTTCTGTTTGATGTTGTGTTGAACCACTTTTTAAGGAACGATACAGGATGTGAACACAATGAACACATCAGAAGAAAGACTTTGAGTAAATATACTGTAATACTTAAACCTGTGCAGCAACGGGGGGGGTTCAGTTAAATACCAATATACATTATGTGTCAACCCTGCACTGCATGGTCCTTATGTCCCTTTGGTCAGTGCTGTTTGTGTTTGGTATGTGAAAACATGATTTTAGAGACCTGCTACTGAGCTCTGTAAGTTAGACCTTTATTTTGAAAACTGGTGTATCAACACCTGCATTAAACTCCTCCTCATTCATCCAGTGTTTGCTTTCTCTTTTCTTCTGCCCATTTATACAATCGTTCGAAGCTCCTAATGTGAAAATCAATTAAATTAAAAGCTGTTCAAGTTTTTAAAACTATAAATAATGTGTGCAAATACAGCACATACAGAGCATTACATTATTATAGCAGTCGCTTGTGTGGTCTGTATTTCTTTGTACTAGTCTGCCACCTAGTGGGAGCTCTTACTGTACATACACAGAATAAAGCATAAATAAACAGGACAAGCTCCACGAAGCAAACATAAACTACTATGTACATATATATATGTAGCATTCATATGTGAAATGTTGCAGAGTACACAGGTGGATGTGTCAGTATATACAGTAAAGTGTGTTTTTAGTGATGATATTTACATGTTTTAAATGTCAACAATGAGAATAAGTAACTAGCAGGTATATTAGACGTTAATTGTAGAGGGTTTGTTCCTGACTGTGTGTCTGGAGGTAGCTGTGATGGCCTGTGGATGGAAACTGCTGACATTACTGTCATATTACTGTAGGTCTTTAAAAAAACACACTAAAAACTTTGTTTAACTTTTTAACTTTTGTTGAGACTCACTGATAAATGTTCTGCAGTCAAAGTGTTTGTTTAAAATAATATTTTAGGGTTTATTGTCTTCAATCACAGATCTGTTCCAGGTGGATTCTGACAACATTTATATTGTTTCCCAGCAGGTGAAATAAAGTAGGAGCCGGAAGAGTTTCGTGTTTCTAAACTCATACTTTAACATTATGTTCTTTATAGCAGACCATAATTCAACAGATATACTGTATACGGATGTGCATAAGTGCCTCACATGTGCAACACATGCATACAAAAATGTATAATATGACAAAGGAAATCAAAACAGCAGCTTCAGTGACTTCAGCTGTCAATAAACATATAATAATATAACACTGTGAAACCTTTAATATATTATTGTTGATGTTTGTACTTAAAGCAGCATCAAGGAAGCTGCAGTTTTTTTTTATTTTGACCCTGGTGGTCAGCCTTGTTTCATTGAATTCAATGGGAATCCGACCCGGTGTCAAGAATAACTGCATAGAAAGAGCCAAACTCCTCGCTGACGCTGTTGTTTGTTAATGTTGGCCACACAGAGGCATCAGTATTAAATTGAGACTGTTTAATAAGTCTTTATCGCAGCAGCCTGGGTTTGAATCCAGTGTCGGGCCCTTTGCTGTATGTGATCCCTGCCGGTCCTCTCGGTCTCTTCTGTGTAAAAATATTTGGAAAAAGTATGAATGCAGGACATCTACTTGTATTTAAGTGTTTTTGAAGTTGGGTTTTACTACTTTTACTTAATCTGAACACTTCTTCCACCACTGACAGACACACTGCAGCTGATATTTGTACAATAATATGAAGTAAAGTCAGAAAACCGAAGATCTTAAACCTCCTCAGATGTGTCTTAGTGAAGTACAAAGTACACAATGAAATGAGAAGAGAGAAAAAAATATCTTAAATCCTTTAATAGTTGCAGTGATAATTATAAATAGGTACCGTAGCGCACACACACACATATCATTATATACACAAAGTTGTATCAGTCTAGTGTATAAAGCTTTCAGACTATTATTGGCTTTTTCAATGCAAACATTGGCACAAGTCAATTATTGGAGTATTTTCAGCACAACTACGTCTACGTGTATTCAAAAAGTTGGCAGCGCAAACATGATCATAACAAGTTCATCTTGAAGAAGAAAGTATACAGTACACAGGAAATGACACCATGTGAGATCATTACGTGACATTCAGAGAGAGAGAGAAGTCAAAAGCCTGAGAAAATTGGATTTCCACAAAACAAACACACAAACTTTGGTTGTTGACAAAATGCACCAACAGGTCCAGTTTAGTTACACTGCCGCCGACAGTATCAAAAGAAATCGGGGATAAGACTTTTTTTTTTGTTTGTTTTCTTTAAATAACCTGTTTCCAAAATCCAGTCAAGTACAAATGTAGAAATATATGTACAGAGAAAACCCAAGAAACTTGTATTCGTAAGGCAGAAGAGCTTTTCTGGGGTTGTAACTATTGAAATTAAACAAACCTGAGAGACAAAACTCAGGTTTTTTTTTTTTTTTTTTCATCAAAACACCTTAAATGTGTTTTTTTTTTTTACCACTGTAACACATCTACTGCACATACAGTAAACCATTAAACAATATCACCTGTGTGTGTGTAAAAAAAGGCTTTAATGTTACAGTGCTGAGTGTAAACTGTGCGTGCTGCAAGAAACCCATGAATAAATCTAAAAACAACAGAGACACTGGCAGTTTTTAACCAACATATAGTTCCTTACTTTGTCTTCTGTTACTGACTGTGACTGAAGTAACATTTACACC